CGGCCCCGGGCAGGGGCCCCGCGCTGTCCACCCAGCCTCCTCTCACCTGGCCCGCCCGCTCCTCAGCTCCGCCCCAGACAGACAGCCTTTGACCGTGGTGTGTTTGACCTTGGCGTGACCATGGCAGGCCGAGGGCACCGAATCCTCTGGGCTCAGGCCCCTCAGCCTGGGCCCTGGGGCAGACGTCTTAGCCAACCCAACACCGTGCATGACGAGGGGTAGTGTCCGTCCCTGACTCTGAGCCTCAGGAGGGCGAGCCGCGTTGATGTGTCTGCTGTGCCCCCGCCCCCTCCTGAGCGCCTGCCCCGGCCCCACGTGCCCGTCGCCCTCCCAGACACACGAACGAGGTCACTGCGCTTCGCCCATCACGCTTGCCACGCTGTGGCTCCGCTCCCGGCACCAGGGCCGCAGCACACGGTCATCCGAGTGTCAGGCGTGGGCTTCGGAAGATGAGATACGACTGTACAGAACTGTAATAAATACAAGTTGCCACTATTTAATTCCTGCCTGCGGCTCCCCGTCTGCTCAGGGCGCCCCGTGCCCGGGGTGGATGTCGGCCAAGGCTGCACCGGGCGAGCCCTGGGGGTGACCGCAGGGGACATGGGGCCAGGCCTGGGCGTTCCTCGGGCTGCGCGCCCAGAGCCCGGGGCTTCATCCTCGGTCCCGAGTGTCTGGCGAGGGCAACACCCCGCTCCAGGAGGAGAAGGGCCTCAGGGTGCTGTGTATCGACCCGGAGTGGAACGTGGTGAGCTCCCTTCCTTACATGGGCGGGTGTGCTCCCCGACAGAGGCTCGCTCTCTTCCTCCCTGTCCGCCCCTCCCACCCTCCCTGTAGCCCTCACAGCATCCAGCCGAACCCGCAGGGACAGCGGCCCTGGCCTGCAGTGTCACGGCCGGGCACGGGGACGGAGGCCACGGTCACGTCGGGGCGCCTTGTGGAGACACAGAGCAGGGGTCGTGTGGCCACGGTGCAGGCTCTGCAGCGGGTGTGAACCCCTCCGTGCTCTGGACCGCAGCGCTGCCACCGCCGGGGGCCGAGGGCGAGCGACCTGGCATTGGGGCTGTTTCGTCTCAGAAGACACCTCACCTCCGCCTAGGCCCCTCTTCGGGGCTCAGGGTCCAGTCTCCTGCCCTGGCAGCAAACCCTTTTCTGACACACAGGATGGCCACAGTGGAGGTGTCACGTGGGTTGTGGTCATCGGCCCCTCTCCCTGACCCCCCTCAGGGTCCGGCCCCAGGCTGGTTTCCCAGGCTTTGTCTTCGATGCTCGTAGCCTCTGCGACATCTCACCATGTTTCCTAGGGACAAGCAGAGTCCACAGTGAGTGTCACCTCTGCCTCCTCGCTGTCCCCAAAGAAGCCAGGGTTCTCCACCCCAGGGCTGCCAGCCTAGCCCAGATGAGGACCCGTGACCAGGAGCCAGAGGGACAGGCCTGAGATGTCTGGGCAGAGGTCAGAGCCTTGATCCGAAGCTCCCTCGGCCCCCACGGGACTGGCCTCAGGGTCAAGACGGGCTCTCCCGCCCCCTGACCTCGGCCAGTAGAAACCCCTGGTCCTGAGTGGGTGGTCACAGAGGCCTCCCCCTCAAATTTGGTGATGATTTGTCATCATCTCCCGTTTTCCAGAAGTCTGTCCTGCAGTGGGACCAGACAGGGTGACCGGAGGGCCCATGGCCTGGGGGCAAACATGGCCAGAGCTGGGGGCAGTGCAGCCAGGGGCACCCGCAATGGCCAGGGGCCTCACCGTCCTGGGGTCACACGGAGAAACCTGGGCCCGAGGCCTTTTGAGCACCCGTTGTCGGCTTTTGAGGACAGAGAGCCTGGCGTGATTTCAGGGAGGAAAAAACCCCTCCCCAAAACGGCGTGAGTGCTGCCTAATAAAGGCAGCTGCTGGACAGAGGGAAAACAGCCCTTTGGAAAAAAGCCTTTCATTAGAAAAATAATGCATTTCATCCAAATAAGGTAAAAATATTTGGAATGGGGCAGAAGTGAGCAGCAGGCAGTGCCTGTCAAGCCCTTTCTGGAAGGGAGAAGATTATTCTTCTCCGGTACAATGTATTTTCGTAGTGTCTTTCAGGAAAGCACCCGCCCAGCTGGGAGCTGGGGTCCGCAGGCCGCCCTCCTGGCCCCGGGGCCCCCACTGCCGGTCCAGCGCTCCCCTGGGCTCCCGAAGCCCGGGCAGGCGGGCAGTCTCCCGGGACCCCCCTGGGTGGGAAGGAGAGCACTCGGCGAGGGAAGGGGGATGCTGAGTGTGTGAAAGTCCGTGTTGTTCTACCGTGCAAGTCCGGATCACGTGTTTGAAAACCTACTCGGTATCAGGGAACGGAGTAAAACCCCTGCCACCGCCCACGCCGGGTCACAGGGACGGGTCACAGGGACGGGTCACAGGGACGGGTGTGCTCAGACTCGCTCACTGCCTCTCCGCATCTAAATAAAAACGGGAAGCTCCTCTGCAGTGTTGTGTGACTTGCTTGTCTCACTGAGTCCTGTGTCCTTGGGGACTCACACCGGGTGGGGTGGAGGGTTCTCGAGAGGCTCTGAGGCTCTTCTCGTGGCTCCTGTGCCAGCCAGGACACTAAGGTGCTTGCTGGTCCTCCACCTGTGACCAGAACCTCCCTCCTCTGGTACTGCCCCACCCCTTCCCTGTCCTAGCCCTGTCCCCAGCCCTGCCCTGCCCCGCCCCAGCCCAGCTCAGCCCCAGCCCTGTCCCAACGCTG